CTCCTACTTGGCGTATGGGACTCCAGAAGCAGGGAAGAAAGCTCAGTCTTGCAGCCCTGGTTACTTCAGGAGATAGAAATGACCAGCTCTACCTATAAAAAAATATTCTTAAGATCTCCTGCTCCTCTGCCACAAGGCATGTTTTTTCTGGTGACAAAGCAGGGATACAGCACTGGGCTTTTTTTCCATCCAGCTTTGCTTTAGGCAAGTAGAGACAACACAATGGTAAGTGTACCCTAGAGATATTGGCATTTTTATACTACGATTCCTTTAAATGGGCTTCCAATTTCAAATATTTTTAAGAGAAGTACCAGCATAAACAAGACCGTAGAAGAGTTCCTGACTTGTTTCCTTCTCCTTGCATCTTCCATGCAAGTCTTCCATTTTGTACACACACTTTGTTAGGTGAGGGACAGGTCAGGGGGAAACAATGATTTGGGAAGTTTCAGCAAAAACATACCTTTTGCAACAGTCCCTGTTTTGTTTCCAGGACCTTTGCCCAATCTCACTGAACTCATTCTGTTTGCTGTTTCTTTACATACTCAGCTTATGACTTCATTCACTGTCATATGTCACCTGCATTCATCCCTGAATAGAAAATGAATAATTTATGTCTTTCTGCTTATCACAGTAGCTTTGTGCTCTGTAGAAGCTTATCAGAGAGCTCTGTGAAAGCAAGATCCATTAAATCACATTACTGATGACATTTTTCATAGGCAGAAGGGTAGCAGAGATTAGTAGGCAATTCACCACTTGGGCCTCAATTACCTGTCAACGCCACTTTTTTACATGGTGACTGTACCCACAGTCCAACCATGGTTTTAGGAGGGAGGCATACAGCTCCCCAGCTCAGTGCCCAGTGGTTCTGCAAGTCAGATGCAGGCTTCATCCTGGGCACCTAGAAAATCTGTAATTCTCTACTAGTAATTCTCTGAATTATACAGATAACCTGTGTAGTAAGTAGCACGTAGAAGTTTATGGACCACTTTTCAAAACAGCTGCCATTTGACTAAAAGATGGCAGCTTCATCTCCAACTGTGATGCAAGTTTTCTACAGCCAAAATTTGAGTATACACAACCCTGATTACATCTACAGATCAGCTGGATACTATTTAATGAAAGGCATGGCTCCAGTGGAATACAGACACGTACAAATCTACACCTCAGCATACAGGCACTGGGGGGATAAAACTGTACAGGCAATTCTAGAAGCTCACAAAAGGCTTCCAGTATATTTAACTCCCCTTCTGCCCATACACTTCATAGTCTGGTGCCTTATGTAAGTTTTCCATATTGGTTGTTCTCAGTGGCATTGAATACCACAGTACATCAAGTCTAAGTGGCAATTCAGTGACTGACAGAAAAATATGTCCTTCACGGTTTGCTGGCAAAATACACTCTGGTCTTGCAGCGCTAAAAAATTCTTACAGAGTTCAGTGAAACTGCTTCTATGATCCTGCATTACAGTACTCTGAAGTTTAGCTAGTCCTTCTTGGACATTTACCATTGCTCCATATCAACCTGAGTACAAGAATTCTTGCTTTTGGTTTCAGTTCAAAGCCAGTACAGTGTTTCTGTGTTAGGCTACTATAATTTTTAATTTCAGGTTGGAAATACAGAAAGGTAGGCATTTCTGTTTTTTCAGAAATGTTTCTGTTTAGCATGAGTCTTCTGTACAAAAACTAAAATTAAAAAAACCCACAAAATAAAAAGCTGTGCTTCACCTTCATCAAAGGCAATATTTGAAAGGTAACCATCATGAAGACCTCTGGAGTAAACCAGATTAAGAGAAGTAGGGAAGAGCAAGTAAAACATGAATTATTTCCACTGAAATAGTGGAATATAATTTAAGCAAGGCTCTTGGCGTTTACTGCCTTAATAATGCTAATTCATCAAGCAACAATCAGTAGTCTCTCCTAACTGTTTCTACAGAGCAAGCAGAAACATCATAAACATACTGTAACTAGGAAAAGGACTCCATAAATCCAGTTCTCAAAATATGGGAAGAGAAGGAATCAAGTCACATCCCTGTATTTAAATCTTATTTAACTCTGCAGAGTAGATGCAATGATGGGAGTGGGGTTAAGCCTTCAGTACCCTTTCACTATTTTGCACACTGTTAAAAAATAAGAACCAAAACAAATATTTAAATTCCTGAGAACATTCCCCACCAGATTATAAATATTTTTATGAGGTTAGATCAAGAGCTTAAACTAATTGGTAAGGGTTCCTTTGAGGTCTTTACATTAGTTAGTTCAATGAAAAACAACCTCCAGGGTAGAGCATACCTTTATGCACAATCTAAATAAAAAAACACCTCACTGAGTGCTCAGTAATGGGGGGAGGCAGGAAGAACAGATGCAGGAATTTCAGATATTTGTTAATTGCTCCTTATTCTATCTCAACAAAAAAATATTTTCCTACCCCAAAATGTTTACTTAAGGTCACTATTTTAAATAAACCAGATTGAGTGGCATGGGGAAAACTCAAGTCCAAAGGTTCTTCTTTTTACACGGTGCACTGACCCCATTATGGGCCATAAACATTTACGAGAGTTCGTCATCAGCTTGCTGAGATGACACATTTTATCTAGCTTCCTAGAGCCATTGTATCAATTGCCTGAAGGAACTTTCTGTAAGACTGAATCTAGCACCTTCTCCTTCACCCCACATCCCAAAAGGTCTCTTGTGTATGTGTGTTTGTTAAGTAGCTAGCTTTTTAATAGAAGTAAGAAAACAACCAGACTGTGAAAGGTATTTTCTTATGTAAGGAGCAAACTCATTGTAAGAGGAGGAAACGCTAGACAGCTGAAGGAATAGAGTTGACATTAACTACTTTACTACCGATTCATCTTAGTTGGGTGTATTTCCTGAAATAAGCACTTAGCTCTATTAGGTCAGTAGTAAACACTTTCCTTACATTTCCCTTTTGTTCTTATACTCCTCTACCATAGGTTTTAAAGCCATCAGTTGTTTCTGTATTCATAAATAACCCCATCACTAGCTATTTAACCAAAAATAAGATGAAATTCTCACATCTAGTCTTTGCTAAGAGAAATGCATTTGACATGCTAAAATAAAAATCCTGCTTTCTATAAAGGAGGGTTGTAACACATTAGATTCCCTTTCTCTCCCTCTAACACCCAAACTAATCCTTGCCAGCTGCACGTGGCCAAGCTCACCTCAGCTAGCTGATGTGCACTAGTATCTTGCATGTGGTTTAAGTTGCGTTTTCAGCTTGAAAAACCACCACATACTAGAAGTAAAAAGCAAAACAAAACCAAAACAAAGCAATTTCTCATAGTATCATTAAGATGCACACAACTGGTGTTTCCCCAGACTATGCACTGAGGAGCTGGGGAACACTCCCTTCCTGGCACTGTCCATTCCTACAGGAGCCACAGGCAAGTCTGAAGATGGAGACATTCTGACCACCTCCTTCACGGGGTCCAGCAGAGAAAAAAGAAGATCAAAGCCATGCCTCATGCAACTAATCTACAGAGGGACAGTAGAAGGAAGGGAAGTTTTGTGATACTCTCCTTTGCTTGACCTTATTAAGGATTCCCTCCTAACTCCTCCCTGCCATGAGGTCTAATTCTTAGATATCTGGGTCTCTTCCCACCACAGGAATTAAGTTGCAAATAGTCTGTATTGCTGCATGGAGCTGTAGTACACTTCTGGTTATTAAAAAAAAAATCTCAGGACAGATGAGCAGAGTTGGGTATTCAAACAATAAAAGGATATCTTAAGAGGCATGAACTGCTTCTAGACTGGCATATTTTTTAAATAAGTTTTATATTTAAGGGAGTAGTAACCACATATTTCAGCGATCTCACATTAAGCATTTACTGTGCCTAGACACCGCACATTTACTTGGTGGCTCATATGGAAGAAGAGTTACTTAATCTAGTATTGCAGTCCACAACCCACAGGCGTTAAGTCTTAAGAAAGCAAAGAAAACAGAAGCACCAAACATAGCTAAAGCAAGACCCTACTTAGTTTTCTGTAATTTGTGCTCACATGAGCACCAAATGCACCTGTCCAAGTGCAGAAATTCTTCATTTTCTCTGTACTCACTTCAAAATAGTTTGGGAAAAGCTCTCTTAGTAACACAACCACCTCCCTATCACTTTCATCTGAAGTCACTACAAACCTCAGTGAAACCTTCTTGCTAAGAGGAAACATCTCTCTGGAGTTCTTTCGCTTTTCCTCATCATTATTCAGTCTCTGACTGTAGTTTTAACATTTCAGAGACTATATATACACACTTCATTAGATCACTGATTGAGCCACTGCAACGGATTTCCTACTTGTATTCGTCATCCTCTCTTTCAGCCCTGGATCTACTTCATGCCCCTCCTTGTTCCTTCTTGTGAACACTGGGTCTACTGTTCCATGACAGAAATAACAACACAAGCACACGTTAACACCAACAAATCCTGTATTATAAGGACTTGAATTTCTGTGGATGCTTTGACTGGGGATTTAAAAAAAAAAAAAAAGGGGGGGGGAAGGTGGGGATGAGGGAGAAGACTTAAACAGAGTACTGCTGCTAAAGAGCTGAAGTTTTAAAAAGTCATACAAAATAATCTCCATAACTCTGGGAGATAGTTTCTCTTGTTCTTACTGTGGTAATTACCAATTCAGCAAGGAAGAGATTTTCCTCTCAGCACATACAATACTTCGAAGACCAGGGAAGCACATTTCTTTTACTATTTTTGACCCTAAAATAGCAGACATATGCATCTAAAAAATGCTGTATTGATCAATTTCCATTTATACAGCATGAGTGGTGTAATATATCCCCTGTAAGATGTAATTTCTGAGCATTATACATATTATAAGTGTCACTATATGCATAAAGAACTACAGGAAAAGCTATGCTATAACTGAAGTTTATACCAGCACTGTTGCAAAATTGTGTTCACATCGGCTATAACAATAGCATTTCCTTTCTTCTCCTTATTCATGTGTTTTGTTTTTTTTCTTGGTACATCATACCTGAAAGCAGATACACAGAGCTGAAATTCTTCTCCAGTTTGCCCAGGAGTACAGTAAGAAAGCAGTCAGACGAGAGAGAGGTCACATCTTTAGAGCTTTGGTCGTACACCACCACTTCCTGCTTGCAATCAATTTCAATCTGAAGCACAAGTAATTCAGAATAAGATAGGAATGAGGAAGATGATTAAAAGCACCGCATTACCACCTGCATCAGGGTTCCCACATACTTGCTATGCAGCAGTTCAGATACATAGATTTCTTATGTAGCTGTATGCAAAACAGTTTTTATTTTATACTTAATATGCCTGATCAGATTTAATTCCTTTGAGAGTTTGTAAATTATTTGCCCCAAGCTGAAGCATACTCTGTAAATTTGTACCATTAGGTAATTGTATGGCAGTTGTAAAACGCTTTACCTTCAGCTAGATTGGTTGTTTCATTTAAAAACTAAACTTTTTGAAAGAAGGCCCTACCTCAGTTTCTGCTTCTGGGTTTTTTGTGTATAAACAGTAAAGAGACCTTAGACTGCCTAAAACCACACACATTTTAGCCATCTGTACAACTTTATGTATAAAATATGCTTTAGATAGTAGTAGTAGTAATAATGATAAAAGGCTTCACTTTTTAACATGTCAAAGCAAGAATGTAATAGATTACTTTTGTAATGAAAACATTTGAAACAAATACCAATGGATTAAAAAAGAAAACACACATAGATACACATTAAGTTTAAACAGGTTAGCTATTTCCACTAGTAACACTATTTAAAAAAAAAACCACCAAAAAAACCCCAATGCAATCACCAAAAACCCATCAAACTACTCACATGAAAAGTATTTTAAACAGCAAGTAGGAGCCAGATTGTAGGATTGACAGAGCTAGTTTCTTTGCAAACTGTATGACCACTTGCTAAGCAACCCCTACCACCACGGACCCCAAAGAATCCTTCAAAGTTTAGAATGAGAATGTTTCCTGCCTTAATTACATATATTTAAGGGACTGTGCTTTGCCAGACATACAAGAAGCCTGAGAGCATTCTTTCTGAGTAATTTCTAAATCCCTCCCCATTACTCTGTCACTTAGGGGAGAGCAGGCTACAAAGAATCCCAAAGATAAACTCAGCAGTAACCAACAGCATCTTAAATCAGGTAAGAGCTCGGTAAAACTCGGTCCCCCAATTTTGTTTTTTTAAAACAAAATACCTAAGGGAAAATTATTACAAGTTGCTTTCCAGGGACTCTTTTAAACACATACAAGGAACAACAGGAAAATGACCCCTACCTTGTGTTTTGCTGAATGCTGAATGAGCTCTGTAATCAAAACTTTGTCCTGCTGCAGCCTCCGCTTCATAAGCTTGGAGCAGTTGATGTTGATGGCATCCAAGATGTGGGACGTATTGTATTCCACAAATGGGCGGCTATCAATCAGCAGCAATTTTTCTGTACCACTCTCCAGCAAAGCCACCAACTTCTCGGCAACAATGAGTTGAGTCCTGATCATCTCATCGGCCATGACAACAATAAGGCCTCTTTCACCACCTCCCTCTCTAATTTGCTGCGATGATGTAATGGCTGTGTACTCAAAGGCTTAGCCACACCATTGTACTAGAAGTGTATGAGGTCATGCTGGTAGTGACTGGCAAAAGAAAAGTTAAACCCATTTTCAGAAAGAGCTCTTCAACTGAATGTCTCCTCCTGCTTCCAGTTGATGTGCCGTTACAAAGGGTTCATTCCACAAAGCAGCCCCTCACATCTGATTCATCGGGAGATGACTATGGAGTAGCCATTTCACAATTCAAACAAAAGATGCTTTCTGGCTGCCGCTGCATTACATCATTCTTTACCTTTGCTCCCACCCATCAGCTTTACACAGGACTAAGAGCCTGTAGGAAGGGGAAGATAAAAAAAAAAAAACAAAACCACAAAACCATAAACCAGATGAGGCCATGAAAGTTTGCAGAACAAAACATTCAACTTTAAGGCTAACTGTACACTGGTCTGTACCATATAATAAATACACCCCTGAGAAGTTCCTCTCTCTGCTGTATATGCCAAACAGCTAAAGAGAGTATTTGCCACTACAGTCTCTGAATCTATTCCAACGATCTTGCCTGGACAATTACCTTGTATTTCAGGCAACGTACCCTGTCTTAATTGCAGACTTTTGTTGCCGCTAGCTCTGCCTCTTCACAAGACTTTGTTAGAATATAATTAAGAGATACTGCCCTAAATCATGGTATTCCTTGCAATAGCAAAACTAATTAGATGCGTTTCAGCACTTCACCACTTAGTAAGAAGTTGTAAAATTAGTTAAGATACATTTTTAAAGTTTAATGCCTTGGAAAGTATTTCACAAACCAGAAGTGCAAGTCAGGGAACTGAAACTGTACAAAAGAAAGGACAAAACTTACATCCACCTCTCTCCTTTAAGAACATGGTTGAAGAGGAAACCAGCATTTTATTTGAATTAATCACCAGACATGGAACAGAGGCCTCGTGAGTACACTACTGAAAGGTAAAGCAGCGAGCACTGCCTCTGGCCCTTCTGGAGCAGGTGGGACAGTAATGTGAGGTACATTACACTTTTCACACATGATAAATAAAATCTGAAACAAGCCGTACTTTTGTAAAATTAGATCCTGACAGCATTTGAACCACATCAGCCAAAACAGCGGCGGCAGCAGAGGAGTAAAAAGACCAGACGTGTTTCACCACCTATTTGTATTACTGCCTCACAGTTGTCCTCAGGCTTTTCAGAGTCTCCCAAAACACACTTTGATAGAACAATTCCCTGTATGAACACTCCTCAGAAAGGAGCCACCACGGGGCTTCATCCATAAGGGATTTAGCTGTACTTGAGTGCATATATAGTGCTAAAGCTACAGATCCAATGGAAAACACAAGTCAACTTGCTTTGCTCCCACAGTTCAAAACTTGGTCTCTTAGTGCAATCATGGGTATTTACAGAGACAGTTGTCTACATAAGGCTGCAAACACAACTCCGGAGGAAACACAAGCCACACGTTCAGCTGCTTCGGTAGTCAACTCCAGCAAGAGGAGACAGCTGAGGGTGGTGACTTCTTCAGCCGAGGTGGTGGCGCTCACAGGTTAGAGCCGTACATGAAAGGACGAGCCTGACAGAGTTCCTCACCTCATTAGTATCGCAGATGGTTTGGAAATGAGCAATCTGGGCTCAAATCGGTGCAAGATTGCTCAAAGCTCAGCAAGAAGCCACATTTCTCCAGTTTGCGCGTCTCACAACATTGCATTCCCTTTTCCAGTTTGAGGAAGCGATTTTAGGTTGCAAACTATGCATCACCTCTTGCACAAGGCAAAGCATACCTTCAAGCGAGTCTTATGTCAGTTCTGGCCCATGCCACCCAGCCTGTGACCCAAGCAGCCTTTCTACCTCTGCCTTCTGCTGGCTGGGACAAAGCAAAGTAACACAACTGTCACAAAACTGAAGTGGCCAGATGATGAAAAAAACCCCAATTGACTCACCCTCTTGAGGCAGCGAAACATTTGTAAACAGAAGCAAGTTATGAGGATACTTTTTCCTGGATTCTTAATGCACATAGAGATACATATGGGGATGAAGTTTTTATATATATAAAAAAAAAAATTTTACATCCTCAGTTTAACAGGTTCGGCTGTAAAAACTTGCATTTTACTTCAAAAATAATTTTACATGCTTCAGTTTGAAATGTTTGTTGTATATCTTAATTGCAAGAGAAGTCATGAATTCAAACTAATTTACAGATAGTTTATTAAAAGTCCTGTTACACAACAGGTCAGTTGTGTTTAGCAATGGGAAATCCCAGGTCAGCAGATGTTTTACTTGTTAGATATATTATACAAAACTAAATGCACAAAATCTTAAATAAATTACATTCCGAAAAAAGTACAAACTTCACTTTAACAACCCAAAAAAAGAAAACGGAAAGAAACTTATTTTGTGAGAGTTTCATGCAGTAATACAAGAAAAACACCAGATTTCACATCAACAGCCATTAGGTTCACAAAATGTGATTTTCTATTTGCTCTGACTCTATTGCTATAAAGCCAGTGCTTTTAAGCTTGTCCAGATAAATGGAAGTGTACAGCAGTGAAACACATATTGCTCTGAACTACAAAAATTATTGGAAAAATTACTATATCAAGCCTTAATTAAACCTGTTTAAAAAAACCCCTATCTTTGCAACCTGGTTGGCAGGTGTGTCCCCCCTCAAAGAGAAGTCATTATATACCGGCCTCAGGCTCTCTGTAGACAGGCTGGAAGGTATCAAAGAACTATGCCGTTGTGCAAGGGGGGAAAAGTGAAACTTGATAGTTGTGTCCATTTTTTTTTTTTCAGAGAGGAAAAAAAGTATTCAGCATTTTTTTTTTTTATTTCTCTTAACATGTCCTGTCATGAATTTTGAATCTTTTTTATTCATATCAAAGGCTGCCAGATACCAAACCCACTGAACTCAATGAAAACTTTTCCACTGGCTCTAGCGGGAATTGGCTCTAGCTCTTCTGTGAGCTAGACAGTTTGTTCATGAACTAGACAGTTTGTTTTGATGGGTAAATTGCTGACTTAAAGTCCAAGTAATAACAGGAAAATAAAGCAGCTGAGAAACTACAGAACTCTAAAACGGAGGCTGTTAAAAATACGTAATCTTTAATCTGCAACTTTCAGTTTGGGTATATGTCTTATCTTCTAAACGCTTACTGCTCGCTGTCTCAGCCTTCACTCTCGTATGATTGAAGCTTGTTTCAGAAGACCCTTAAAAAGAACTCAAACCAGTCATACATGGTGACTGGGTAAAGAACATGTGAAGAACATAAGGAAAGTGGGCTACCAGTCAAGAATCCTTTTAAATAACACTATTACTTTAACATACAGCTATGTCTGAACTTTCTAAAAGCATTCTGTCCATGGCTTGAAAGTAATAAACTTAACAGTAATGTCACCTCAACTTACTGTGATTGAAATACTATTTTGACAGGAGCAGCTCCATTGGGCAGGGGAAGGAACAACATTTTTATCAATTACAGGGTTTTTTTTTGTTTTGTTTTAATTCTGTCTGTTTCTGGTACTATCAGACTTCTTGTGACCTATCTAAAGAGGAGAAACTGGCAGAGCTCTCCTCTCCTTCCTGGTGATTTGCTCTTACCATTCAGCTACTATGAGGTGTTGAAATAGATATTTCATTTCTAATCATAGTTTGTAAAAAGGCAAAATTCAATTTCTTGACTGTTCTCCTGCTGCTGCGCTACTTGTGACTTGGATTGCAATGGTATGTATTGACACCATAGTGTCTCAAAATGATGCGGTATAATGCTTTGCACTAAACAGGCCATTACGTTGTTGATCTTCAAGCTAGGAAACCATCTCAGTCACAGGATGTTCTACACTGAAATCAGGACTACAGAAAAGTGAGCCGTAGTTGAGCTATGAGAATACTGCATGAAGTCACTCACATACACACTGGTAATACTGCATGGCTTCTTCCTCCTTGTAGATGGACTGCAACATGTGGCACTGCTTGTTACCTCTTCTTTTAAAGAAGAAAATTAAACTTTTAACTCACTGTAAAACTAAAAAGATCTGTTCCACACTTGTCGGTATCTTTACAGTTTCTCCATATTGCTTAAAGAACCAAAACAACAAAAACCCTACTACCTTCCACACAAACAACAGTGGATCTCCAGTATGTACATGTAATTCTGCCGCATCCCTCTTCGCCCCAGGGATTCCTGTCCCCATCCCAAATGACTCCGATGGAGCAAAACAGGCAACCGCAGAACTGGAAACCTGGCACTTGTGTGTTTGATTCTTCAGTCAAAATAACTCACATTTTGTATGCACTCCTAATTTCTACTTCTACCACTTCAACTCCAAGCAATTCCCTTACATCATAGCAGGACACTTGTTTGAGTTATCTCAGGCTTTAGTCTCATGATAGCAACTATTTTTAGAGGCAGATGCAGCAAGAATATATTTTTAAAACCTCTCGGAACAACACTCTAATTCTACATCGGTTAACGAACTGGCAGACAGCATAATTCTAGAAGCCTTGCTACAGTCTCTGAAAGACTTCTACCTCATGTAAGAAGATAACCTTGAAGTTGAACCTTGGTGTCATAAACGCTCAGCAATTTTGTTCCCAACGTCACTAATGCCTGCTTTGTCAGGTGCCTACAGAAATGGTCCCACATACGTTACTGCTGCATGGCAAAATGCCAACAAAATAACTTTATAGCACCTGACCATTAGAAGGTCCTGAAGGGCAGCTTTTGCATACGCGGCCTGAGACACCTGAGAGAGCTGATTTTTAAAACAACGTATTTTTCCGCTTTCTCGAGGCAAACACAGGCGCATATGAGGAAAACCACTATCTTCCCCTACAAATTCCCCTTCATGTTTCTCAGGATGGACACCAGCACAAAAAAGAAACCCAAAAGCTGAATCAAAACACAGAGGTAGGAGTTCCTAAACTGCAGAATGCATGCCACTGCTGGCACATC